GGGATAGCTTTCACTGAAGTTCATATAGTTCCAATCCCATTGTGGGTTGTTTAACATTAACTCCCAAATCAAGGTTAACAAGAAACAACTGCTGTGTTCCCATAATGTAGTCTGCTTAAACAAAAAAGCAATGTCTGAGTTTCTCCTAATATCCTGAACCACAAACTACTAATCTAGCATGTCGTGTGGATTCAGCTGGTGAATTTCTACCTAACACTGAAGTGGAGAACTTGGTACCCTTCCAGATGTTGTTGACTGACAGCTTCTACCAGATCCAGCTAGCATAGCCAGAGGAAGGGGTGCTGGGCTCTGTAATTCAGCAACACAGCTGGTTCCCCATCCTTGATCTTAAGCAAGACTCTGACATCAGGTGGTTCGATCTATCACCAAGAGTGGCAAGTTCTCCAAAGCTTTGATAGGGGTTCCTGCAGGTAAACAGATGCATAACTCATTTCAAAGCTTTTCACATTTATTGTGTTTGCAGTTCATACAACATCTTATAAGGAAGCCTGGTAGTATTCCAGGCAGATTGTCAGTAGATGGGATGGGATCCAGATAAGGAAGTTCCTAAGGTATCCTCAGCCATTTAACTCACTGGGACTCGGAACATGAATAAGGAAGTTCTAACAGAGGGTGGACTGTTCTGCTGGATGCTCTCTAGTATGTGCAGATCCATTAACTGGAAAGACAAGGAACTCAGCCAGGACTATCAAGATGGGAAAGCAAAGGTTCTACAATGAACCATGGACAATTCTGAGAAACTTACTGAACTTTCATGGGATGTCTGGAGAGACTTGTAGGGGAAGACTTCTTGGACTTTGACTCTACCAGCTTTCTGACATCAGGGCTGAGTGAAGCATCACAAATGCTGCCTCTTGAATCATCTACTTTCAGGACATACTGTATACACTATAGGAAAGAGCTGGTGGCAAACCATGGAGACCGTGTGCTTCTCCTGCCCAAATAATGGATTTCTCTGCTCTTCCAACCACCAAAGAAGTGGGATGTTCACCAGGAAGAACAGTAAGATCAGAGGTACACAACTCTTTTTGTTGGATTTTTTATCCTACCTTTATTATTTTATAAATAACTCAAAGTGGCCTACATACCTAATACTCCTTCCTCCTCCTATTTTCCCCACAACAACAACCCTGTGAGAAGAGTTGGGCTGAGAGAGAGGGACTGGCCCAAAGTCACCCAGCTGGCTTTCATGCCTAAGTCAGGACTAGAACTCACCATCTCCTGATTTCTAGTCTGGAGCCTTCACCACTAGACCAAACTGGCTGTTAAAGTCAGAAATATAAATGAAACAATTTGTCCATTTGTCTCGAGATATCAAAGAATGAGACCACAAATGTCTGGAGAGTCATTGCTGTTTCCTATGTAAATAAAATCCCCGAACCTGCTGTAGAAAATCACCAACCTGCTGTAGAGAGTTTTTGATATTTTGATTGCTGTTCTGTCTGTGGTGGATTGCTTTTTCTTGAGTAGGCCTATTGTTCTTCTCCAGGACTGCCATCTTTTGAATGGGCCATTGTTGGTATGACCTTAGCCATTGCCAGCTCTGCAAACATTTGCAGCTGATGACATTGTGATTTCTGCATGGAGTTGCTATGAGATGCAACCAAGAAGACTAAGTTGGTTACTTTTCTTACTGGTCTGGAAAGTTGGCAGTCCTGAACATTTAATCATAATCAAAACAAATCCCAGAAGCAAAGGTCTAGGACCAGATGTGAACTATACCAGCAATTCCATATGCTCATGGAAGATTTCCAGAGCATGAGAGATGGTTCAACAATACATGTTTCAGGACCTCCTAACTGGGAGCCCATGAAGCTTAGTTTCAAAGTTAGTCTTAAAAGCTTAAAAACCTTGTGTCATCAGGGAAAGACCAGAGTCAACAAATACCTTTCAGTCCAAATATGGATCCTTGCTGATATTATCTGATTTTTTAAGTGGAGAAAATGTTAAATGACACAGCTTAACTCCTGATGGATTGTAGTTACCCATGTAGCTTTCTTGGCAACAATATAGAAAGGATTTGCCCCTGCCTAGGAGGTCACTAAGAATTGACACCAACTTGATAGTACATATTCATCAATCTTCTGGATTTTTTTAAAAAAAATCTCCTTGTAAGCTATAGCCTTTGGAATTCTGGTGGTTACCCTTCCAAGTATGAATCAGGTCTGATTCTGGTTAGCTTTTTGAGATCAGCCAAAGTCAGTTAGTGCTCCCTCCTTGCTGAGATCCAAGAAGAATATTAGGGATAACCATTTTAGTGTCTGGATGTAGCAACGATTTTCTGTCTCTCCCTCTGGCAGAGTTACTTGTTCTATGCACTAAAGCACATGTTGGAATGAGCCTGAAACCCCCCTTAGCTTCTGAGTGTCAAGGCTGGACACCCAGAGGGAGCTCTGAGATTCCTCCAGTACAGCCATCTTACAATCCCCTGAAGCTATGTGTAGCTTTCTGGGCTTCTAGAATTGACCAACAAAAGCCATCTGCTCTTCTAGAATGTCTAGAATTCTTCTTTGCTACCTCCACCCTAGTTCATGTGGTTTTTATGGTGATGCTCCTAACAATGTGTTTTCAAATCCAGCCAAAGAATCTGGGTAGGAAATTTCATATATATTGCATCACTGCGAGGATATCTGTTGTCAAATAGGTCTCAGGTATAAGCCATTCAGGCTGGCTTCTGGAACAGGACATGGTTTCTCATTTTAAAGCTCATGGAAAGATTGCAAGAATTGGTGCTCCTTAGTTGGAATGTAGGTGGATAGTAGGAAACAGGAGATAAGTATCTAAAATCATGTATGGCATAAGTAAGTTGAAAAGAGAGAAGATTTTCTCTCTTCCTCCCAATATTAGGACATTCATTGAAACTAAAATAAGAAGGCTTAGGACTAGCAGCAGGAAATCATCTTTATCACCATCATCATCACCATCAAGTACATTTGTATCCTGCCAAATCATCTACACTCAGGGTGGCTGGCAAAAAATGAAACTGCCATTTTCCATGGTAAGAACATTAACTTACAGTCTTAACTTCATAACACAATGGTGTTATGAACAAATCAGGACCAAAATGAACAATTGCAACACATAATCATTAAAGCAGGAAATACCAGTGATGAACAGTCATAACCCAAAGACATGGAATAGTTCAAGAAATGCTTTTTCACAGAGCCTCAGGCTCTTCTAAGGTTCTTATCAACCCCAAATTACAGATTTTTCCAGTCCTAAATCTGAGACTTGGTCATGTTTGGCTGAAGGAACCATGAGATCTCATCAAAATGATTTCTGAGATCTTACTGCTAATGAAAG